GCAGCGGCGGCCGTTGCGGAGCGCGGCCCGCGTTCCGCCCCGCCGCGCCCCGCACGTCCCAGCCCGCCTTTGTGAAGGAGGAGCGCGGGCGCGGAACGCGCGCGACGCCTTTGTTATGTGCCCCCCCCCCCCAACGTCTCTCCGCGGACCGTTGCGCGGCCCCCACCCCCTCAGAGCGGCGAGGCGGGAAGCGGCGGCCGCGCTGAGGCGGCGAGGGCGGCCGCGCGGCGAGGCCTAGTCCCGGACGGGAAACGAAGCGCAGCCGGGGGGTGACTCCGCGCCCGGAGCCCCGCTGCCYGCCCGCGCCTCCAGCCCCGGGTGTTTGCACAGGGGCTTTGGGGGTGAAAGCGGGGAAATAAGCGGCGTGGGGCTGCGTGGGCTTTTGTTGGATGCCAAGGCACCTTCGTCTCTCGTTTCCCTGCTGACAGTAGTGTAAAAATAAAAAGAAAAATCTGTTAAAAGTTCAGCCCCGTAGAAAAAAAAAATCATTAAGAAATAATGCCCTGTTGGAGGTAAGTAAAAATAGGTCACCGAGAGCACTTTCACATACAGAAAGGGACTTTGGGCAAAAGCTCTTACTTACGAAGAAAAAAACATTGACATAAAGGTATAAAAATGCAATATTGAAGACTTAGAGCCCCTGAACGTTAATGTAGCATCCACGGACTGTAAGCACTAGTCTTGTTTTCATTTGAAAAATAAAAGCTTGGCCCTAATACATTTCGAATTTATTCCCCTTTTTCCACAGCAAAGAGTAGAATCAGGAACAACCAACTGAAGAGGGGGTCATTTCTACCTCGGAGAAGGGCACTTTTGTCACGCTCCGTAATACAGCATCAATAAATAGATTTCTTCACCTCTCTCTTCTTATCACTACTGACATATATCTTTTCCAGCCCTCATAATCATTTTTTAGACCTAAGGGGCTTTGGTTCTTTGCAGAATCAATCTTATTAGAGAAACAGAATCCATTACAATTCAGCTAGTGGCTGTAATTGATAAATCATGTGCTAGATTTTATTCTGCTTATCTGATTTTCAGTATAGGTGTAATTCCTGCAGCTGTGTGTTCTTTTTGTTATAAGCTTCCACTTAATGCTGAATTAATGGCCATCATTTAGTAACAGTAAAATAAATAAATGATAAATTTTAAAAAGTCACATTTGCACAAGGAAAACAGCATCTGTGGGAGCGCTTCCAGCAGGATTTTTACCCTAGTGAACTTTCCCATCATTTCCCTGTCTCTGTTASTGGTAACTAGTGTTGCAGAGAGGACAAAGTTTATTTAGCTGTCTTATTTAGCCACACTTCAGGGTGCACCAAATTCAGCTGGCTAAGCTAGTTGCCACGGGTGAGTTGGATGAGGTGTGGTATGGAAAAYGTATATAAAATGGAGTGGAGAAAGTGGCAGAGATGCGGCATAATTTAGGAAAGAAATTGCACTGTATCTGATCCAGAGAGCACATAAATCCCGTGTCTCATTTTAAATAAGTGTCATCTAGTAAAATATTATCCCACGAACAGCTTTTGCAGATTTTGAGCAAGCTATTTCTTATACTTCATTTTGAAAGGCCTTGTATTAATCTCTGTTAACCAGACAGATTTCTAGTTTCCCTAGGGGAAGGAGACCTGACAGGATGGGCAGCTGCTGTGATCTGCTATGGCTGATCCTACACCTTGCTCCTTCGGGCAGCTGCCAGAGAAGTTTTGGTGCAGTTGTTTAAAGACCACCCCTGTATGGCTCCTTCAGAAGCGACTGTGTGAGCCTTTTAACAAGTTAGTGCTTACATTGTATTTTATAGGTTTTAAGTACGGCACTGCAGTGTGTTCACCCTAGTTCCAGYAGCTTTTGCCCTCTTCTTGCGGCTTGGGAAAGCAATATGGAGCAACTGGCTGAAAGTCACACAGTACGAGCAGTACTGACCTGGGAAGGTGGTGCCCTCCAACGTTGCAAACCCATGGATGAGCTGCAAGGTGTTAAAGTGCTTCTGCCATCCATAGKTTGGAGATACTTAGCCACTGAAAAGGGCTTATTGCGATGAATGGCTTGTACTGGGACAGGGAGGTCCCCCTCATTCCCACACCTACTTAAAAGGACTAGAAGGGGAGTAGTCAGTGCACATAAGCCATGACTGACGCCTCATTGGTTTACTGAAACCGGCGGCAAAGCTCCCACCACAATACACAGGCCCTGAACTTCAAAGGCGACGATGTTGCACAGGAGCAGTCCCCACCAGTGACCATCACTTCAAAGGGCCCAGATTTAGACAGGAGACAAGAGCCTCTCCCACTCTCAAAGTCTTGCTGACGCTCCGGTCAATAGTGATTCAATACCGGGTGTGCAAATACTGAATCACAAGTGCTGTTGAATGTGTTTTCCTACAGATGTGAATGCAACTGTCTGTTTTCTCTCCCCTTTTTACCTCAGGACGCTCCCTGATCTTCGTTTGGGTGCCAGGAACTCAGCAAATTACACATAAACAGGAATCACATGAGGAATAAAAAATAGCAGCAGTGCAACCCTGAATACAGAAGTGGCTCTCCTTTTGAGTGATGCCATGATGGACAAGGAGGAGAAGAAAGTGTCAGTCACTCGGTGAGGACAGCAAAGGATCCTGAAGGCAGAACAATGTTTCCATTATTTTAACACCAGCTCTCTTCTCCACTGAAAGATCCAAATGACAAGGACACTAAGGGTTTCTGTCTCTTTGCTATTTGTTTCCCTAGTAACAAATACACAAGCTGCACTGCTCGAATACCATCTTTTTCTCCCTTTTTTCTTTTTTTAAGATAAAGCCATGTCTAAGGATGCATTCAGTGTTTTCAGTTGCAGGTTAAGGTTGCCTTTACAAATGAAACTCTGATACAGCATCACGTACTTGAAAGTAGTGTTTGTGGTTCACTGAGGTACTAAAACAAGACAAAAAGTGTGAGTGTGAGGGAAGAGATAACATGCTAGAGTCTAAATTTCTGTACCCTTTAGTTATAAACTCTGCAGGGTAGAGCCTCTATCTTGCAGATGCTCTGATCCTGCCTAGCAAAGCTGGTGTCATACTTGTACTACCAAATCATGGGAGGTATCCTAACTGTACCACAGCCATCTCATTATTAGTAATAAAATGTGCAGCATTCTAGTTATAAACACTGATCGTAACAGTAACCCCTGCCTGTGTTTTGTTGTGGGCTCTGAATCATGAAACTTCTGCTCAAATGTGATTTTATACTAGGAAGGGGTTTTAGTGTTTCTTACAATTCTAATCATGAGAGAAGGATGTGATCTGGAGTTCTGCAATTCGCTGGGTTGCACTAATTGGACAGAGGGCACACAACCCTTACGTGTCCCCRTGGTTTAGCACTAAAGAAATAGGACTAGGAGGTGAGTTGCATCCTAAAACRCGAACGATTTAAAAACAAAGTTGAAACTAAAACCACAACAGGCAGAAGCAGAAAGGAACGCTAAAGACAACTAACCTGTAAAAGACCCAATACCAGGATTTTTTCCTCCTTTGTTTTCTTAGGATATATTAAGAAGTCTCAAAACTTTGGAAACTTGAACCTTTTTTTTCCCCCCTAAGTTAAAAATAAATAAATAAATAAAAAAGTAACTTCTTTCCTGAATATTGGCCATAAGTGTGAGCTTAGCAATGAGAACAACGGGTTTGCCCTTCTCTCCCCAGGTATTCAGTTCTTTAGTTCTCCTAGGAAAACGATAGGAACCCATTTCTGGCGATATGGCAGCAGTGGATTAAGTAGCAGGGTCTAGGAATAACTGATCTGCACTGATTATTGTAAAAGGAGTTTTTCTTTAAAACAAGTATGATCAGACAGCTGATTCTTCATTATAATCTCCAGTACTGCTTTTCCCACTTCAAGGACATGATTATTTTCCTTTCTAAGCAACCAGATTTGCAAAGTTTAAAGCCCAGAGAGGGCTTATAAAGGGGGAAATTAAATCTTGAAGAGTCTCTTACCTTCTCTGATTTACAAAATAACATTTTATATTAAAAAAAAAATCTGCTTGGCATCTCTGACCTAAGTTATAACACCATCTTTACTAATTTACTGGATACATATACAACAGTATGTCTAATAGCTTAAGTAGGGATTAGATTAAAAAAAACACCAATATTTAAGCAAATATAGAMAAAATGAACTTCTGGGAAGAGATAATATACTAACTGGTCTAATGAAAATGTTAAACCATCCCACGAACCCAGTCTTATATATACCTTTGGACAATGAAAGCTTACACAAAGTCAAGAAAGGTTAATTCTCTTGCCATTATCTGGCAGCTTCACTATAGCTGTTTTCATATACAATGCTAGAGAGAGAAAACGAGTGCTACAGGAGATGTTTAACTTCTGTCTTTTCTATAAACAGTATCATTATGCAGATTATGTGTTATGCAAACACATCCCTTCTTAGGCTGAATTAAAATGGAGGTGTGACTGGCCTGTTCATACGTGCACTGAAGCTTTAGGGAAGAACTTGCACTGAGAATTTTGTTATATGGGGAGAGCAAAACCAAAGTTATTTAACTTATTGTAAAAAAATATTTTCTGTTT